AATCAGTATTTCATAACATGTATTAAAATAATCAGTATTTCATAACATGTATTAAAACAATCAATATTTGCCAAAAAGGTTATTAGGCAATACTGCTGTTTACACATGTTGCTATTAATTTTATACACAAAATTTCAAATAAATTAGAACTCTCACCATTCTTTCTGATAAAATTAGGCTTGCAGGAAGCCATTTTCCACCATATGTGGTTTTCAAGATTTTCTTGGAGAATACTCCAACAAAAGTATTATATTACAGTGGTGATGGAATCTCTTTACCAGTAAGTTAATTATGAATGCTATTAAAATGGTTTTGAAGTTGTCTACTTTGTAGTTATTTTCCCCACATTTATTTTGAAATTCACAATAGCTTTGTGTGGTGATTAATTTGAATAATTTAAGTTTTGGGTCAATGAAGACACTCAGTAAAAAGTCAGCACAGTTCATGTTTACCCAACACTTAGTGAGTGTTTTCTTGGATAATTTTGGTCACATTCATGCATTTCTTGTTTTATTTTAGCATTGTTCAAGATTCAGTCACTTGTTTATGATTTGTTTTTATCAAAGCCAAAAGTACACTGTTTAACTTGTTAAAATAGATGACACTGTAAATATAATCTGGTATAAATTATATAATGACTTGTGGAGAGCCTACAGAAAGTAAAAAATGACTCTCAGACCAAGGCTTAAAGTTAGTGCCCTGATTTACAGGGACCATATAATCAACTGAACCAAACTCTTCATTTTATCCATCCATAGCACCCCAAAAGCTCCATGGAACTACTTATATAGAATCTTTGGTTTAATGTGCACTAAAATGAATTGAAATGGTGAGTATGAACAATTTTATTGCATAATCAACATGGTTTCGCTAAAGGAAAATCTTGCCTAACAAATCTTTTAACATTCTTTGAAAAGGCTACTGCTTATGTAGATGAGGGTAAAGATGTTGATTTGGTGTATCTGGATTTTCAGAAAGCATTTGACAAGGTGCCACATAAAAAGCTTGTAAAAAAATTAGCTCTATAGGTGT